CGTTTTAGTGTGTGTTATAGCCCGCATCACCAAACCCTTGTAGCCCACCCAACCCCTGTAGCCCACCCAACCTACCCAACAGGGCTGTCAAGGTAAAAAGTATCAAAGCGTTAATATTTCCTCTTATTCAAAAAGAATGTACAAAGTTGAGCTCATTTTGGAAGACATTTTAGAAAAGTTTTGACCGTAAAAATTAATTTTTGGAGTTTTCAAAAGGTAAAAACCATGCAGAAAATTGCAAATGTGAATTATGTGAATTATGTGAATCACTCTGGTTCGGCTAAAAATTCAATCTCAGTTCAGAATTTAGGCTTGCGTCGCAAAACTATTCGATCATACTACAGCTCAGTTTTTACACAATGCTTTTCTTTGCTCTGTCATCAATCGAAAGCAAAGGAGAAATAATTAGTTTTCTCTGGGTCACCCTATAGACTGCAATCAAACTGACAGGGCAGGGGTGCTATGCAGCACGTGGGCAGCACGTGCCAATTCTAATATGAGTTTCTCAAGCACGTGACTATTACAATAGCATGTACTCAAGAACAATCCCGCGATTTATCTTGACAGCCACTCAACCGGCCTGCCCGTAACCAATCATATTATCATTAATAATGGTTCATCTAATATTAGTTTTAATTAGATCCGGGATGCAAGAATCAGTCATTTTAAAGATTGCTTTTGGAGACCTATTTTCTTTTTAATGAGCATTGAGTATTGTGTTTAATTTGCAATCGCTTTTCATTTCGAACACTTAGAAGCAGAGGTGAATAAGGGGGGAAAATGAGTTTTTGTAATTAAATTTTCTACCTGTCGAGATCGTCTCTCTTAATGCTGCACTCTGAATTCTGGACCATCATGCTTCAGAAATTAGACAGCATATTTCTCAAACAGGAAGCAATCTATAAAAAAGCACCTAGCTCTAGAAAGATAATGGAAGTTAGCATGAAACTTACCAGACAAAATTATTAATAATTTTGTTGACAGATAAATTAGAGGCTAGACATGGTGGGCGTACACGTGCAAATCATCTCAGACGAACTTCCATTGGAGTCCTCACAAGTGCAATTAATTATTATGATCTGTCAAAGTCTGGGAGGGAACGACATGATTCTATGATTGGTCTCGGTCATGCCACCGGTTATTCTTGGTATTGAGAGCTTATCTTATTCTTACGAGCTTAGCTTCTTTCGTGGAAGGAGAAGCTCATATGATTAATTCAAGAAGGGGGTTTAACCTTTTTTATTGTAAGCAACGTACTGGGATGATGTCCACGGATATACAATAACTTCTCCAGGAAGCAGAAGCTGTGTTTATCATTCTCCGGGATGGTGCTGTCCAACAGGCCCTATTTATTGGAATTCAGTTTCAAAGGTATTCAATAAACAATGAAAGACTCTGAATCTTGTGCCACCACCAGAGGAGCTACGTTATAAGTCGGTATAATGTATAATGCGGTATAATGCGGATATTGAGATATTGCCAAAGCTTTTCATATCAGAAGAACAAGGGGATATGTTTTTAACACGTTGTCCTAAACTCGAACTTCTCCTTATAAGACGATGCAGATTTAATTCTATAAGTTTCATATTTTGTTTCAGAAATTCTAAAATAAAATTCGTTCCCTGGAAAAGGGCGTTTCTCTTAACATATTGAACTGATCAATTTAATTATCTCGTTGATATGAATTACTCAGGTAGGTAAATATTAGAGATGAAGATGTCAGCAATCTTCACAACGAAACACCTTATGCTTTAAACGTATAGTCCTGTGATAGCCAAATCGATTAGTTTGTAATAACTTAATAAAAATGTCTATTTTCTGTTGGGATCATTAGAGTTCTTCAGCAGATTTCAAAACGCTTTTATTAAAACTCGTAGACATCCCGAACAGAGTGATCCATTTTCATTTTGATCCTGGTTCTATCCGATAAACAGTGACAAGTATGCAGTTGCACAACGCACAAGGACTCTGCCTTGTTATAGTGCTAAATATCTACATATTATAGATCGTGATATTCGTGACCAATAATCCTAACCGTACCAACACTTACTAAAACCATAATTACCGAAAACTTCTAAATCGGCACGGATTGAAATGGTGTGGTTAAACATTTATGTTCCCCTTTTATTTCTCTAAACTGCGTCACGAAATAAACGGCTTTAAATATTTTAGGCTGGGGCTAAATAGTTCCCAGTCGGGTTGCACGGGTGAACACAAATATTTTGAGATCATGAATACGACAAACGACAATTTGGCTTTAGGAAGAGCTACTCAACAGAAGCATGAAGTCACTCACACTATCGAATAGCTAAGAAGGGATATGTTCTAGGTGTATTCCTGAACACTGTAAAATATATACTACCATAGGCAGCCAGGCTACCTGCAAGCTTTTGCAGATGATCTTGTCTCTCTAGCGGAAAGAAATAATTTGGATGTCATTTGGGACAGAACCCAACAAACCATCAACACGACAGAGAAATTCAGAAATGGTGCCAAATCAAAGATCTACCCATCGACCATCAGTGCCCTTAAAACTCAAAATGGTCATGTTCCCCTGGAATAAAAATGGACACTTAGACCTGTAAAATCGGGCAACACTACTGTCCAAATCCTTAGATACTTAGCCCCAAAGGTCAAAACATGCAAATGGATGTACACCGCTGTTATTAGACCCATCCTATCCTTGTGCCGCAGTATTTGGGATTAGAGCGACCCCAACAGAATATACTGCAAAGAAGTAAAAACGTGTCTCTAAAAAACTTTCCTAATTTGATTAAAACAACCATCATTCGACTAAAACTGGGATATTTTAAACCTTAAAAGATATGATGAATATGCTTGTCAGATATTCTACAATATGGACCGTTTAACCCAGGTAATCAATTTAGAGTTCGAGCCTGCTTTGATGTTCCGACAAAGAAATATAATTCAAAACGCTTAATAGAATAAAATTGGAATGTTAAGATCAAACACCGCTGAGTTAACGTCTTATCTGAATATAATTCCCTTTGCAGCTTATTAATAAAAATATTTGTAATTATTTCACCCTCTGATTGGAAAGGTCGAATGAATCATGATGGATCAACTGCAGTTAACCAAATGCTTTCTGTTGGAGAGGCTAAATATCGCGGTTATATTAAGATAGAAACAGTCCCGACACCAAATAGTTAAGTAGCCCCGGTTTGAGTGGTTTAGCTTTGTATATAAGATCAATTCTCAAAGTTGTTTAAATAACGTCCATTGAAATATTAAAGACTGAACCAGGATTGGTGGTTGTGGTGGTAGTGGTAATGATCCTAATGGACTCAAACAACTGCGCCATTTTTAAATTGCTTCAATTTAAAAATTACCTCATTTCGCAACTTACGTGTATTGCACAAGTAAGTTGCGAAATGAGGTAATGAAGAATATTCCAAACTGCCATACCAGGTTATATTACTAGCTAGTTACTAGGTTACAAGTCTGCTTTACCATGTTACTAGAGTACTAGCTAGTTAGTAGTTACTAAGCTACAAGTCTGCTTTATCCAAATTAGTCGCGGAATGACGGGATCTACAAAATTTACCGGGAAATGATTAAATCGTAATATGTAGGATTGAAACTGCGCTCACTATGTGACCAGTGCCTGTCAAATATCATGTCACCGTTTGAAACCATTATATCAATATAGCAGGACAAAACCGTGGTCATAGGTGAAAATAAGTCCAAAAAGTGGCACCTTAACGTAAGCTGAAATTTTTTTAACCTGACTTTTTTTCGAGAGATTTTTACCTTTGCAGCTAGGGCTTTTGCTGGATTTTGAAAGGTTTTTGCCACATCAGTTTAAGTTATTATTAATTCTAGCTCTGGGGATTTCTCCGTGCGACAAGATGATTAGGGCCCTGTCATGTGTCCGAAACAAATGGCGATCACCCGGAGATCGCAAGGGCAGAGGGGCAAAATCGGGGGGGGGGGGGGAGGTACCCTCCTACTCCTAGAGGCGCCACAGGCAAATTTTATGCAGTTTAGAGACCATCTAAAAATAATTAATATGATATAATTAACATGCAAGCTTGAAGCACCACGGAAAACTGGAGTTAAAACGGTTCCAGAATTCATTGCATCGGAGGAAGTTCCTCCGAATAAACTGCAAATTTCCACTGCACTGCCTCCCTTTGATAGCAACTTATAAACAAATTATAGTTAAGTGGTCAACATTAAATGGATTGTGCAGTTAGAGGGTCGACTGAAAGTGAAAATTTGATTAAATCTTTAATTAAATATCTCGTCTGAACTCGAACTGGTCGGTAGATACTTTTAAAAAAACATAATTTACAGTATTTAGCAATTGCAACTGAACATTTGCAACTTAACGCTAGCATTCGCCTGAATAAACCAAACTTTAACCTCTCCCTTACTAGCAGTTAATAAATTATAGTAAAGTTGTCGGCTCATGTAAAGTTAAATGGATAATCCCGTCAGAGAGGCAGGCGAGGAAATGCTTTTCTCACTCGGTATCCACAATATATTGTCCCAGCTTCGTAGCTATCGCTCTATAGTTAGATAGGATTTATTAAGTTTTAATACTTTCAACATTACTAAATAACAAATAATTTGAGAATGAATACGGACGAGTCAGTTTGAAAATTTCTACTGTACAATTTTAACCTGAGATAACTGTTTCACTTGGTAGTCGATCAGAGAAAATTAACATCTTCAAAAATGTCTTATGGTTATGGTCGGGTTAGATAGTTTATTTAATAAATGTCACATGACAGCGTGGGGAGTTTCATTATACTATAATTTGGTGGGTCTCAACAAACCAGATTGAACTCCTTGTCCAGTAAACTGTGCGAATGCACTTACTTCACCAAGTTACAGGCCCAAAACAAACAAGGCGCCAATTAACACTATAATACTAATTGGTCCTATCGCTGACATGAGACGTTAGTCTTCAGATATTACAAGGGCTAGCCTTGGAATTGCACTTTGAAGTGACTAACGCGTTAACTGTATTTCAGGCAAAGCTAAATCTGATGCTTACTAATGATAACATGGGAAAATGTCTGGGCCACATTGTGAGTATACGATTCTTTATCATATTATCAGCTTTTTTACCATATTCAATTGAAAAGTAGTGCCTTCACACAAATTGATGTTTATTTATTACAAGTAGTAATATGAAGAAGGAAACTCAGTCCTCGGAAACAAGTTAAGCAGGATGTATTTCTCATTGTCATTATTTAGGTTTGATAGCTCTTTTTATAGTCTGAAAGTCTGAACTGTTATGGGTGAACTGGTTACTCTGTTTCCTGTGATGCTTCAGTTTATAGAAAGCATTTTTCCCTTCCCGAACAACCTAGCACCTTCAATTTGGTGCTATTTCGGCCGGAAAAAACCGTACATATCCAATTTTGAAACAGTAATAAAAATACTACTAAACTATGAGCATGACAGAAAAATGTATAGTAGCAAGCTGAACTACTTTATAAACTTACTTATAATAGGATAAATACTTGAATACGTGAGAAGACATAACCCTATAGACCCTATATTTACTGTACAATGTTTGATAATAATATTGTTAATATGTACTGTCTTTCTCAATATCTCCTGTTACAATCCAATTCAAGTTAAATATTGAGATAATTAAACAATTTCAACTTGTTGCATTAATATCTTCTTCACAAAGTAACTAATTTATTACACGATTGCTTATTAATTTAGTGATTCCATTGATTAACATGTGAAGCAAGTTATTAACAGATTGCTTGCTACATGTGCCTATTAACTAGTGTACTTTGTGTATCTGAGTGATTTTTTAAGTGATTTAGTCACTTCAGAGCACCAGCTTGACTTTTTAGCACATATTCTAGGTAGACACTAATTTCATATCCGATTCCCCAATATTCTGCTCCTCACTCAGTCGACTCCAGAAAAAAAATTCGATAAAATAGCCTACAGTCATAATTTGAAGATATCCTCTCGTCAGTCGTCTCGTCAGTCGTCTAGAGACGAATTATGACTACGATACGGACCAAAACAGTATCATTTTATTTGCGCATAAAGCGCAAGATGGTGATCCGCGGACATTTAGTAGGAGTCAGTGCTGGAGTTGACTTAGCAAATTAGTAGCAAATTTGCCAGCACTTTGCACAAGAGCTACAAATTTGAAACTCGACATTTAATCAGTTGCTTTTGCGACAAATGGGTGATAATATTGGGATATCAGCTGTAATATTTCTGTAAACACACTGCGACAAATGGGTGATAATATTGGGATATCAGCTGTAATATTTCTGTAAACACACTGCGACAAATGGGTGATAATGTTGGGATATCAGCTGTAATATTTCTGTAAACACACTGCGACAAATGGGTGATAATATTGGGATATCAGCTGTAATATTTCTGTAAACACACTGCGACAAATGGGTGATAATATTGGGATATCAGCTGTAATATTTCTGTAAACACACTGCGACAAATCACAGCATCTTATTGGACAAAGTATTCCAAAATATAACTATTTCCGGGAATTATATGCACTAAAACTCGTCGACACTGAGAGCTGATAATTTGCAGATTTTTCCCTCAAGGTATTATCAGCACATACTGCGAGTCACCTCGGTGGGAAGTTTCAAAACAAATAACATTGGCGCACTATATATTATTACACACTATATTGTATCATGCGCACGTATCTTACACGAGCCATCGTCAATAGATATAATATAATAATGCCTTCGGCTCTTCGGGCCGCAAATTCCCTCCAGCAAGCTGTCGGGAATTATCACGCGTGGCCCGAAGAAGGGAAGGTATTATTGTATTATAAACCATTATATTGCGTCGGTCTCGAGCCATTCTTCAGCGAATAATGCCGGTGTTAAAAAGGCCCCATTTATTTGTTGACGATCATGGCTAATTGTAAATTCTCTGGTGGCTTCTTAATGCTCTGCCAGAACCAGTCTTGTTTATATGAAACATAGAAAGAGTGCAACCGCCAACTAATTTTATTTTATTGAACAACACAGAAAGGTATTAAAACATTCTTAAAACCAATCCTGAGTCCACTTTTTCTCTTTGGACTCCCTCTCACAATGAAATAATAGAGAGGAAGAGTTATTTTGATAAGCTTCTACTTAATTCTGTGCTTACCGAGATAAGTGTTTCTCGATTAAAAGAGCACGACAAAATATATTAATGAACATGAGACCTACGTTATCAGATTTATTAGTTATCTAGTCACGTGCACGTGTAGTAGTGTTCTTTCACCGTGGGAAAGGAATTTTAACAAATCTTTTTATGTGTCTAATTCAATAACAAGTGATCGTATGAAACTATATGTGGTGTTAACTTTATAATATGTGGTTTGGCAAGAGGTAACCTTGTGCCACATTTTCGTTGTGAGGTGTGGTGCTGTGAATAAAACATTGTTTAAAATGTCTGATGAACGGCACTATGGAAGTGGAACTAATCAAAGCAGCTCTCAGATTTATGAGATAACAGCATAGAACACGTTGTTATATAGTTCGGGATAGTTGGGAAGCGTTCACAGTTCACAAACTGCGTCAGTAGCCAAGTAGGTTATTGTAATGCTGGCAATTGCTGGCAGGGGTCTGGGTCTAGCTGACGTCAAGGTGGGGCAGCTGGGTTAAAATATTGAAGGACTGGTTAATGAATTGTGTTTTTTGTTGAGCAGCTTGAAGGAGTGGCTGACTGTACAACAGAGAAGACAGATGTTGGCCACTTATCTCTGCGGGAGGTCTTAATATCAATAAAGTGATAGATTTGAGCGTGACATGCAGTAACGTGCAGTAACATGCAGTAACGTGCAGCCATGCGGTGATGTTTTCAGGTCACACGAGTGATTATCAATTACATCCGCGTAAAAATATGATTCAAATTTGCTCACGTGATTTATAGCTGCAAGGTTTGTAGTTTTATCAAACTTTCAAATATTTCAATGGTCCGTCTGAACCCTGTGAAGTACAATCAGCTCAAACTAAACTGATCTGTTATCACAAAACAGTTGATATGATCGACATTCTTAATTAGCGAAATAAAACTGCTAGACCCTCACTTAGTCCCTGTTTACAAGCCAGAACGCAGCTGACCAAGGATCAGAGCTATACTAATCAGGAGCTTACAAGGTTCGTGCCAGATCCGCGACTATGCAATCAACAACCGGCTCTAACCGATGGTAAAATATCGGAGTGAAATAACAGAGTTGACGGCTAACGTTCGGAAATTGTGTGGTACCACAGTCGACTGATCATGGTCGGTACCCAATAAGAATATTAAATAATAAATAGCTCTCTAACAGGACTACCTAATATTGAACGTCCTGTCAGTGCGTTTCTTAATTTCACGAAGTGTTGAAACTTTAATTAGAAGTAGACTAATTAGGAGTATAGTAGTAGACTAATCCGCCAATTTGTGGAACTACCTCCTACATTAATCGTCTAGCGGCGGCAACACTCCCTACCCTCAACTATTAGTAAATAGTACTAAATTATCACATCAAGTTGAAATAAAAAGCTTCTCATCAGAGTTGTTGTTAATCAGAGATAGCTCTGCTTTTTTGTCCCTGGTCGATAAAGATATATGAACAAAAATAGTGGAAAGTCTTTAAATGTCCGATTCATCTGACGATAGTAGAGAATCTAACATGGTCCGGTGACATGGTCCGGTGTCAACATATTTTCAGCAGATTAATAATTCATTGCACATTAATTGTCTCCAGCTCATATGATTAAAAACACCAATACAAGGAGGTTACTAACCATGCCAAGGCGACTGTAAGAAACAACTTATTAAATAAAGAACACAATTCAACCACACTGATAATCTTATTTTGAATAATAACCATGTCATTTAGCAAGTAACAAACTGTATCACCTTGGTAAAAATAATGATGTACATTGCTACTTCTTATTTGTATGTAGTTACTATTGATAATTGGTTAAAAACGTCAGCACCCACTATCTTGAAGTATCAAGAGCAATATTTGTCACCAAAAACAATGATGCAAAATATTTCACTCGAGAAAATTGACCAAGGTAGGGAAAAATGTAAACTGTCTGGTTTTCAAATTAACTAATTGAGTATCATTAAACTTTCTTAACAGTTATTTATTTTTATCACTTTCTCATCAAAATTTTAATTCTTAGTCCGTTAGCTTGGTAGTGGCCATTTTGATTTCATTGCAAGCTAGTTCTATCTTTAAAACCCTGTCATGGTTAAACAATATATCCTTGTGAAATGTGAGACCAGTCACCAGTGACCCTGTCATGGTTAAACAATATATCCTTGTGAAATGTGAGACCAGTCACCAGTGACACTGTCATGGTTAAACAATATGACTTTGTGAAATGTGAGACCAGTCACCAGTACAATATATCCTTGTGAAATGTGAGACCAGTCACCAGTATCCAAGTCCGACATTCAAGCAGAAGATGACATGTTGCTCAATCTAACTGTGACTACAGATCTAAAATTCTCATAAATCCTACTCGTTATAAACTTTCTAAACTGCTTCATTCTCAGAAAGTACACTACAGGATTGACGGTGCTGTTTAGAGCTACGCACACCACATACATAAAGGGCCACATGTAGTAGTAGGAACTAGCCGAGGAGTAGATGGTCTCGTAGTGGCACACTTTCTCGAGTGTGTCTGGTCGGGAGTGCTCCACAACACAGCGGAGGATGAGCCCAAAGTGCACCACCACCGGCAGGTTGAATAAGATGTAGACGAAGGTCACTATGACTACCGTAATTCCAGCTTGGTGCTGCGCTTTTGAGGACGATTTGACACGCTTTGAAGCACGCTCTGTCTTGTATAACGTTGTCATGGTGGTTACAAAACTCATTGCAACTGGAAAGATTGGGAGAGCCAGCTGAACCATCATTACTGCAGTCGTTTTTAGCTGGTTAGAGTCAAAATCTAGCTCACCTGCCTCCTTACCAGGGCCATCGTACACCATGATGCAATGTCTGGCAATCACCCAATACGCCATCTTGTTCTGCGAGAATATCAGTCCGCACTTGACACCCACAGTTAGGGTAAAATACCCT